TCAACCAGCCTGGGGAATTCTGGGAGTTGAAGTCCACACAGCTTAAAGTGGCCAAGGTCGAGAAACACTGCACCAGACGCGGCAACTCCCAAACCAGGCCCTCTTGCCTGCACGCAGCATTCTCTAGGTGCCAGAAAGAGGAGCCTCTTCAAGACCCAGGCCCCACCAGCTTTCCCCACTAACCGCCAGCCCTCTCCACGGTGACACCCACAGCTCCCATCAGCCTTGGACAGGGAGGACAAACGTTGAGACGGGGACCATACTCTCCATCCTGGAGAGAAGCCGCCCTCGATTCCCCGGGGCAGAGGGACAAGAGGTCTGTCCAGGTCGGCCGGGTGCTCGGCGCCGCTATGGCCGGGGCGAAGGGGTAGGCTGCAGGAGGGGAGACTTGGGAACTTGCGCTGGGGCTGTCCCGGGTCTCACCTGCTTCTTCTTCATCACCTTCAGGTACTTCTTGTCCCCACGGTCCTTACAGGTGGCCAAACACTTGCTCACGTCTGCCGTCCACTGAATCTGGCTAGCGGTGATCACCATCTGCCGGAAGATGCTGGGGAAAATCAGCTCACGGCTGCTGGTTTGGAGGTGGGGGGGAAAGGGGAAGGAGCCCCATCTTCCTGTGCCACAGCTTGACCTGAGGCGCCGAGGGGGGCTGAAGGGAACAGCTGCTTTTCCCTCTGGATTTCTCTGCTCAAGGAAGGGAGGGAGCACCAACCTCTTCCCATTGACAGGGACTTGCAGGGAAGGTCTAGACAAAGGGGGGTCGCAGGAGCCCCCAGTTACAACAGAAACCAAGCTGACAGTGGGAGTGGGAGTGGGAGTGGGAGGGAGGGAGGAGGAGTAAACCCCATAAGCAGCCCTCCCTCCTTCACCTCCTCTTTTGGCTACCAAACGTGCCAGAGACCCCCAAGATCATCCTAGGAGCAGGACGGGCAGGTGTAAACATCTGGGTGGCAGCCCCATGCTAGGAGGCCAGCATGCCACACCAAAACAAGATGGGGTACCCAGCCAGGTCAGGACCTGCCGCTACCTTGGCACCTGCCAAGACACCCCAGCGACCCCACCCGACCTCCCCCCAGCTCTACATCGTCACCTGTCCGGGCCACTCCTTCACCCATTTGTCCCGCTTGGTCAACATCTTCTTCAGGGCCAGCCGGCAGTTCCGCAGCACCTCCCTCAAAGTCCAGCGCATGGCCCGCTCCACATCACACAGCCACTCCTGGAACGTGCGTTCTCGGTCACAATGGAGCCTGCCGGTGCCCTCCACTGTGGAAAAGTTCACTGGGGGACAGGGGAGCCCGGCGAAACCACCCTGGACCAGTGCCTGACACCACCCCCGTCAACACACAGCAGGGCAAGGCATGACCTGGGCAGCTCAGGGAGAGGGAAAGCACGTGGGAAAGCCGGTTGTGGGCAGAAGAGCAGGGGAACAGGAAAGGGATTCCATGGTACCATCATGAGCTCCAAGCAAAACAGTCTAATCCAGCGAGCAAGGAGGAACGGGGGCCAGAGAAGGGATGTGCCAGGGTCAAAGCTCTAGCCGGTGTTTCAGGCCTCAGAACTTTAGCAGGAATCAAATGATTCCAGGGGAAGCCAGGGAGAAATTGCTCACCTCCACAGGTCCTTCCAGCAGTACAGAATGGGTGAAATCCACATATTCACCATCCAGAGAGTACATGCCGAGGGCTTCAGACCGGTTGGTCAAGCCAATCTGAGCATGGAAAAGAGAATAAGGATTCTCCACCCATGGGAGTCTGCCCCATTAATCATCTCCTGACCGAGGGAAGACCTGCTTTTTTGAGGTTGCCCACCAAAAAATGCCAAGTCCAAGGAGAATTCTGGCTGCCAGTCAGCCACAGCATTGCATGGAAAGAAAGAGGATACTCAAAGGGGAAACTGAAGAGGCCTGGACAGGAGAGGACTGCCTCCAATGAGTCATACCTTCTGAATTTTGAGGCACTTAATGTTGTCAAAGCACTTCTTGAGGTGGGGCTGGACAGCTTCTGGGTTACGGGACTGGCCCAAGATCTCCAAGAGATCATCATTGGATAGGAAGTAGAAGCGGGGAAAGATATGGCGCTTGGTTTCCAAGTACATGTCAAGGGACTTCTGGATATCTTCTAGGGCAGCGTTCATTTCTACCAGTTTGTCCAGCAGTCCTGCAGGGAGAAGCACAGAACAGTCATAAGTGTCTCTCTCTTGCCCTGGCCATGAAACCCACTCTCCTCAGAACAACCAGAGGCCTCAGAATCCCAAAGCCCTGATAACCTTCTTCATATTGCCAGATGTTGAGGTAGAACGTAGAAACGTTGGATGCAAAACAGATTGTGCTTCTTCCCCCGAGCTGTGGACCCTCCCTCCACCATGACAGAAAGGAGGGACAGCAACCTGGGTAATGAGTAGCACGCAGAGCATTATTGTCCTTGACAAAACGGTCCATGATGGTCTTCCAGCTGCCGTTGATACGGTCAAAGGAGGACGATTCACCAGGCAGCTGCTTGCGGATATCTTCTCCCAAGAAGATGTTCTGGAGATGAAGGGAAAATGAGACAGACACACCTGGATTCTAAAGCACCTGCCCATTTCATGGGAGAGGCTGCCAGGCACATCTTGTTTCCTCATCACTGATCTCTCCTAAAGACTTTACTTGGTTGCAACCAAAGAAAACTGTTATTTCTTTCCCAGAGAGAGAGAGAAAAGGGGCTGCTTACTTTTAACAGTCAAGCCACAAAACATTGCTCACCACCACCAAAGTGGCCTTCTGCCCCACCAAAGAGATGCTGGAAGAACAAGCCTGGCTTCTGGAAGGATGAAACCCTCACCTCCAGGTACATCCACTGCCGCTGCACGATCAGTAACATTTCAATCACCTCCAGGATGAGTGAGAGGCAGCGTTCCCAGCGGTCCACCTCCTTCTCAAACGGCTTCACAAAACGTGAAGCCTTCATGGTAGACAAGGCCACCTGATTGTCATCCAAAGCCTGGAAAACATCCTCAGTTCCTCTGTGGAAAGAGAGTTCTTGTAAGAACAGGGCCTCAAACAAGGCCTAGCAGTAGAGGACTTCTGAGTCAGCCCCTCTGTTGTGGAAGAGGGCCCCCACTCCCCCTGCTCTCTAGCCTGTTTAGCTGTTGAGTCAGCTAAAGACTTATTCCATAAGCTCCATTCCCTCTCCCTTCCTGCAAGGTTTTGGCCCTCATTTGGACCCCACAAGACATTTCATGGAACAAGGATGTTAGAGGTCTCCCCCTGAAGGCCAGCTGCCTCCACTGTAGGGTCCACCTGAATGGCAAGGCCTGCAGAAAAATGGGACTTCTCTGATGGCCCCCACAGGAAAAATCATCACACAGAATCCTAGCGCTGGAAGGGTCCTCTGAGGCCATCAAATCCAACCACCTATTAGTGCAGGAATCCAAATCCAGTCTCTGAACGCTTCAGGGAAGGGGAGCCAATCACTTTTCTGATGCACTGGTTCCACTGTCAAACTGCTCTTACTGTCAATGTTATTCTAACATTTAATTGGAATCTGCTTTCTTGAAACTTAAAGCCATTATTCCATATCCTGGCTTTCCTTCCATCTCCCCAGCTCGATGAGGAACCATTGATAAACACTTTTTGAGTACAACTTTCCAAACTGCTAGGTATCCATTTAATTCTCATAACATTCAGCCCACTCTTAACTCACTTACTAATCAGAATATCATGAGGTACTTCGTCAAAGTTTTTGATGAAATCAAGACATAGTACATCTACAGCATTCCCACAATCTACTAAAGAAGTTCCCTGATCAAAACATGAAATAAGATTAATCTGGCAAGACTTCTTGACAGTTCCGTACTGACTTTTAATAATCACTGTACTGTTATAAAGATGCTTACAGACTGATCTGTTTATAATCTGTTTTAGATTTTTTCCAATTTCACACTGACTGATCTGTAGTCACCTGGATCCTCTCAACTAGCTCTGCTGATCAAGCTTAGCAACGGTGGACAGAGAGACCAGACATACTCAGCCTGCCCTCCACTCTTGGCAGCTGAGTCAGAGGATGGCTGGCTCCTACGTTCCTCTGTTTTCATTTTATTCAAAGGGTGATGCATTCCCCATCTTTCCAGTGATAGCACAACACTCAGAGTGGGAAAAAAATGACACATAACTGAAAAGCAGAAACACCACTTCTAGGGACGGACATAGAAACAGCACAGCTTCTTAATCTGGCAATCCAATTTCATCCAGAACAAAAGGCTGAAAGAGGACAACCACGCTTACTGGGGAAGGGAGTTCTGCAGTTGGTGTACACTGTGAAGGTAGAAAAGCCTTCGTTCCTTCCCCAATCATTGTGCCTCATCACTTGGAATATAAAGAAGGATTCCCCCAGCAGACTGTGAAATGCAGGGAGAAGATAGTCTTTAGCTATCCTGTCTCAGCCCAAACCAGTTAAATCTTAGATGATGGTAACCAGCACATTTAATTGCTTCCAGAAACCAACATGGCCGTCATAGGCTCCTAGGGGCAAAACCTTACCAAGATTCTTGGTTCAGCATTCAGGGGCAGCTGATGTTTCCAGTGGTCTTTTAGAGGCAGGTCCACCTTCAGACATTGTAGAAATTTGACCTGATGTGCCCAAAGCACACATTTCCATGGCCAGCTACCATGCCTTGATGCTATGTGGGCATCCTTCTCCCATCCCTGCACTCGGCAGACCTACCTGACTCGGTGGTGCCCTTTGTCTTTGTAAGGCACAATATCCAATGCAGTGACAGCCCAGGTCTTCGCGATGTTTTCAAGAGCCTGCAAGGAGAAAGACACCACAATGAGTAACCCCTCCATACTGAACACTTGTAGATACTTCTCAACTGGACACTCAAGAGTTCATGTAAGTCAAGGGCCTCACTGTGCTTCTGAAACAAATGCTCAGACTTTCCCTGAGAGGGAGGAGTTCGGTAAAGCCGCCCACAAGCTCCAAACAGAAGATACTACCTGCTCGATTGCCAGTTCCTTGGTGGCTGAGGCAGAAATCTCAGCAACCTTCTCCACGTGTTTGTCCAAGCCCAATTCAATGATACTTTCCAGCCTGAAGTCCTCAGCATCCTGATCAAATGTCCGAAGGACCAGATCCTTCACCTGGTCCCAGTGTCTATGGGTAACCAGGAATGAATGAATGAACGAACGAACGAACGAGTCTGTCTGTCTGTGTCTGTCCGTCCAGCCAGCCAGCCAGCCAGCCAGCCAGCCAGCCAGCCAGC